CTCAGAGAAATGAATGTTCTTCCTCAAATTCAGAGACCAGGTAAAGCTTCGGAAGTCCTCACGCTTCCTTTTATAGAATAAGCAGCTTCTTGTTCCAAACAGACAATCACCCAGAACTGAATTCAATGCTTATAGTCAGCAATTACAAGGATATGAAGCTGCAAACAAGCCACGTCACCTCACTGAGCCTCAAATTCTTCATGGCAAACATGGGGAGAATACACAGTCTATGAAGTTGCTGGAATAATCAAATGGCAATTACTATATGCCCGTTGCTCATCTTACCAAATCTAGACAGGTGAAAAAAGATTCGGAGTTTTCAAGCATTTTCTAAGACATCCTTCTAAGCAACATATATAAACTCAGATTTGAAAGTTATAAGCTACAGTAGCTTATAACTCACTTCAAGTTTCCCAACAGCAGCCAGGTATGGGGTCAAAATTCCTTCCAGTTCAGGAGTGGTAGAGGAGATAAAAGAAGAGAAAAGAAAAGTCAGGCAGGAACGTGAGCCAGCACCATCTCTCTACCATGAAAGTGCAGTGGGGTTCGAATCCGAAACACAAGGGTCCATGGCCAATTTACAAACCACTGACACTTAGCCCCTGCACTGGGTCATGTGTTAGGCTTTAGAGTAGCAAGACATTTTCTACAGCCCTTGACTCACCACTGAGAGTTTTGAATTTTAATGGACAGGCAAGCCCTTGCTAACCTGAGGGAGAAGGAAAGATTGTGGGATGGCCATCAGAAGGTCAGGTGGCACGCCAAAGGGCCGATACCAGGTCTGGGCTGTGAAGCCTCTGGAGACGCCCAGACTCTAGGGTCCTAACATGGGGAGTGGAGGATAGAGGCTTAGGGTCCAGTGATCTCCCACAGAATCCTGAGCTCAGATACAAGAGGACTAATTGATCATCAAAGCAAGGGGGGAAAGAATGAGTAGATCACCAATTGGTAGCAACTCTTCCTACCCTTCATGACCTTTGACACCAAAGCGAAGACTCTTCTACATTACAAATCACAAAGAGGCTCCTAATAACACAACAGGTCTGGACCTGCCCTGCGCTGAGTGCTCCCATCTGTGATGCACCCTTGAAATATCAAAGCAGATGGCTTTTCGAAACTTCTGACCATGTTGATAATTGGTTTTCTTTTCAACTGCCAACTCAGAAATACATTAACAGCTAAAGAAAAATGTTCGTCTATATGAGAAGTCTTCTTAACAAGAGATGACATTTACCTTAAAGGCAAAAGACTATTTACCACGACTTAAAATTATAAAAAGGGAATAGAGTAAGGTTCTTCACCTACAAATTTGCTGAAAGTGGAGTGGATATTGAACTTTAAGAATCATCTCTTAAAGTAAAGCCCATTGTTATAACCTACTCAAACGTATGACAGAAAACTAATGCAGGTGTTCCTTCTTTGCTTCCAAAAGGGCCAAGGTTCTTGTAATTCCTGGACCATCCTTTCATTTTCTGGAAAGGGGGGAGGGAATGGACATCCTAACTTCTCATCCTACCTCTAAATCAGTCTTCCATTCCTTCTTTGTCCTCATTTTACTATTCCATTCCTATCTTCTTCCACAGAGCTAATCACTCTTCCATGTTCTGGATTTTTATTTTGTCACCTCCTGGGGCTGCTTCTTCTTACTGACTCTGTCTCTGTCTTTGTCTGTCTGTCTGTCTGTCTGTCTCTCTCTCTTTCACACACACACACACACACACACACACACACACACACACACACATTTTCTCCCTCTCCTTTCCTTTTCCATTGACTTTACTGTCTTTTCATTAATCTTTAAATATGTTCAAGTTTCTCTTACTTAGGAAGAAAAGTTTTCACTTCCTTTCTAACATATCTTCTGCCCCTCACTCCTTCCAAAAACTCTTTGCAAGATTAAGTCTGCATGAATTACCTATCTTTGCTTACTTTCCAAGGATCAAAGGATACTTGACTTAATCACTTTCTAATTAATCTCGGTGGCAGCTTGGCTTCCCACAATCACCACCATGATCATTAAAGACAACAAATCTCTCTAAGGTCACCAATATCCTCTACTGGACATTTATAACAGCCACATTTCCTTCCCTCTCCTGCACACATAACTAACACATCACATCTAGCCTCCATAAAACACTTGGTTAGGTTCTAATAAGTTATTCTATCCTAGTTCTCGTGCCACTTCTCTGATCACACCTTTTATAGTTGCTTTTCCTAACCTCCTCCTTATCACCTAACTGTAGCTACTCTCCAAGAGAACTGCTATGTGCCTCTTCTTCCTCTGTAATCTGACTCAGTGATCTTATTTATTCTCCCAGTTTCATGGTAACCTATGAGGTATCGCTTGTGTTCACTCCTATGAGTTCTGGGTGTAACCATCCAGCGCCTACTTAACCACTCTTCTTTGACATTCCACTGCATCTCAAACCCCATGGAGAAAAGCTTAATTGTTCTTGCTGCACATTGACTCAGCTCTCCCCATCAACAATTTCTTAATGCTACCACCAGCCTATGAAGGCAAAAAGTTGGGACTCATTCCTATCCTGCATTCCTCAGATCCAATCAGACACTCTGTTGCATCATCTCTGGTTATCTAAAAACCGTAATACCAAACCCACTGCCATTCAGTCACTTCTGCCGCATAGTGACTCTCTCCTAGGCTTCCAAGGCTGTAAATCTTTCTTCCTTAGAACAGCTGGTAGATTCAAACCACTGACTTTCCAGTTAGCAGCTCCTCAGTTTATCCACTCTGCCTACAACTTTTCTACTATGAGATCCCTGTAGCCACTAGAACAGCGTCTTTATCCACCTCTAGTTTCTCCTCCTTCCGACCCATGCCACACACCATCCAGCATCACATATGTTCAAGCCATGCTCTGTGTAAAAAACTTGTAATGACTCCTCTTACTCAAAGTCATGTCAAAATCCCTTGACAAAGTCTTCATTGGTCTTTCTATCTCATGAGCTATCCCCTCACTCATGCACCAGCTGCTCTGTCATTGGCCCACAAATTCCTTTTCATGCACCCAGTGTCCAAGCAGTGACTAGCACAGAGTGGGCCTTCAATACTCTTGTATATTTCTTAAGGCATACCTTCACACTTATCTCATTCATTGCCACTGAGTCAGAACCAATTCATAGTTAACCCTCCACTGGGTTTCCAGGGCTGTAAATCAAATGAAAAGAAATTGATCATCTTTCTCGTATGGAGCTGCTGGTGATTTGAACTGCCAGACAGGCATGGCCATTGGGTTAACAGTGCAGCTTCCTATGGACTGTGCCACCAGGGTTCCCTATAAAGCAACATGTAAATGAAATAGCTTCTTGTTATTGTTGTTATGTGCCATCAAGTCGCTTGTGACTCATAGCGTCCCTGTGTACAACATCCCTAAACCCTGCTCTGTCCTGTGCCAATCTCTAAGTGTCTCTGACACACCCATCCCGATTACCCCAGTCACTGAATCAATCCACCTAATCGAAGGTCTTCCTCTCCTGTGCTGTCCCTCCACCCTCCCAAGCATGACATCCCTCTCCAAGGACCTGTCCCTCCTTGCAACATGTCCAAACTAAGTCAGATGAAGCTTCAGAATCCTTGTCTCCAAGGAGCAGCGTGGTTTAACACTCTCCAGGACGGGGGGCAAAAAAGTATTATACCTCTAGTGATAGACTGAAAATTAGTAGGCTAGGTAACCTTCCTAAGTGCGGCCATTTTTCGCTGACGGACAGTCTCCTTCCATACAATTTACAGCCTCAGAAACCTGGTGGAGTGTCCACTATGAACCATTTGACTCAAAGGCAAAGAGTCATTTGAGACCAAATTTGGAAAGTACGCATGTGCTTTGACCAAGAGCTGAAGACTCTGACGCAGCTCGCCACCAATTCAAACAGCTCCCTGTCTACGTGAGAGATAATGATACTGCAGCCTTTCCTTTTCCAGCAGTCACCGTCCCTCATGGTATTCTTCTCAAATCGCAAGTCTTGAATAGAAATTATTTCTATTGTTGTTTTATTCCTTAAATTGTTTTTGTTTCATTACAGGAAATTACAGTGCTACTCTATTTCAATAAAAAACCCAACCAGCTGCCAGCAATTCAATAAGATTCATCTCTCATTATCTCTTCCTGGATATCCCCAACCCCTACTTGAAATAGAACACTTCAGAGGCAGCCATTGTAGTACAAGAGTGGAAGAGCATGTCAGACCTCTGTTGGATCCACAGGCAACCGAAGCCAAACACACTGCTGTCAAGTCGATTTGAACTCTGGGAAATCCAGTAGGGCACAGTAAAATGGCCTCAGAGTCTCCACAGCTGTAAAGCTTTACTGAAGCAGTCTTTTACATCTTTCTCCCTCACAGCAGCTGGTAGGTTCGAACCGCCAACCTTTTAGGTTAGCAGCTGAGGGCTGAAATGCCGCCCCACCAAGGCTTCTTGGAACTGCACACTAGGCAGACTCCAACTTAACTCTCAGCCTTGCTACGCTTCCTCTCTGGTAAAGACAACCACCACACTGATTCTTAACCACCAGGAAAAAAATGATTGGCTTCTTCCTTGCTCCTAGAGCAGTGATTTTCAAAGCGCAAACAGCTGTTAACGACTGAAACGCCAAAGGAAAAGAGTGACCTTACAAGAAATGGCACTGACGGAGAGGAGCAAGAGACACCTCCACCAACATTCTGATGAAGCCTTCGGGGCTGCAGGCTGATAATCAAAGGAGTGGCCTCAGTGGTGGAGAAAGGGGAGGGCAGGAGAGAGCTCCTTGGAGAGGGAAGTCTCACGTCCCTGCCTTCCCAAGAGCTAGCCTCCAGTTCCTGGGGGCTTCGTCAGCAACATGCTGGGGATGTGCTCCGAGATCAGAGTGCATGCTTGTGTTTCACTCGTCAAACACATTCTCTCTGGAATGACTGGGATGATTCCAAAGTAGATTAAATGCTGATGCGAATGGAAAACTGTAACGAACAGCCATTATCCGGAAAGATAAATGACATACATATTCAACTACCTTGTAGGGCTCCCCAAAAAGATCAAAGCCTGAAGAAAAGAGATCTTCTTCCTGCTGGACTTCTTGATTCCTCCGCTCCCATTCCCTTTTCTTAAGCGCACTACGGTCCTGCTCATAGTGACTGACAAGAAAAGAAAAAGACAAAAGGGGGAAAAAGATTAGTCACATATTTCCTTTAAAGCTCCCGCGCCATCAGTACAGAGTCCCCTGGAGTCTAAAGCAACTTACTGGTGTGGCAGTGATGTTTTGGGGAAGAGTTGTTTCTTGTAATCAGCAAGGGAATCCCCGGATAGCACAAACCTCAAACCCACCCCGAAGTACCTTGGAAAAAGTCTAGTTTGCTACTTCTGAAAAAGTAGTTATGGAAAAAAATCCCATTGAAAAACAATGTATATGAACTTTGTAAGTAAACTAGTAGAAAATAAAAATAAAATTAATTTTTAAAAAACAAACCCCACAAATCCTGTGGAGCAGTTGCACTTTGACACAGTTGGGTTGTCAGGAGTCAGGATCATCAACTCGACAGCCACTAGATTTGGGTTTGGTTGGGCTTCGCTTTTGTTGTTATCACTAAGAATAGAAAGTGGAAGCTCATGTTGATACTACAGAGAAAGCAAAAATATGTTTCTTAAGTATTTAACATCGTGATAAAACAAAAAAATAAATGTGTTTCTTGGAAACTGTATGCAAGCTCACTCGTGCTCTCCCCTGCCTTCCCTTGGTTGTTGCAAACAACTCTACAGCTTCCCCCGTAAAGTGTCAGTCCACTGAGCAAAAGGTACCGAAAAAGGCTTTTATGTTTTGGCCAACTCCTGAGGCTCAGGAAGCACTGATGTCAAAGTCCTTGTTGTGGTTAAGTGCCATCGATTTGCACATGACTCACAGCGACCCTATAAATGAAAGGTCTGAGCCCTGTTCTATAACTATCATCTTTTCTCCAGTATTCATAGAGTTTCCAATGGCACGTTTGTTTAGGAAGGGAATGCCAATCCTGCTTCCTAGCTTGTCTTAATCTGGGAGCTCCACCAAACCCTGTCCACCATGGGTAACCATTATGGCATCTGACACACCAACTCAGCATTAGAGCAATCCCAAGTTACCTCAGTGCAACAAATTGGCAGACCAGTGCTGTATCACTTAGGAGAATGCTCTTCCTAACACAGTTAACACCAGGCCTGCCCTTGGCCCCAAAAGACTTTTAAATACAAAGGCCCACCCACCAGGTCCTGATTGACTTAAGCAAGAGGCTTCCAGCCCACAGTTGCTTGTTAGGGGACAAGCTGTAGACACAATAAAATCATGACCTGAATCCACAAGTTAGCCAGCCTTAACCCACCTCACAGAAGGCATGGAAGAGGAGTTTGCAGTTACACACAAAACCGCTGCACTTCATAATTGCCCACTTTCCTTTTAGTGTTTCTTACGGTGCATGGAGTTCACAGAGCAGCTGGCCAATCATTCATACTCATCTTGTCTTCAAGCATTCATTCTCCCTCCACTGTGATAGCACCCTTTCTACTGCGGCCTTGGGATTTTCATTTCCCTTCATTGTGAACGTTTCTGAGTTTCCTTTTGGTTTTTATTGTGGTTGTTTTGGTCTTCCCATGATTTGAGTCAACTTTGGTCTTTTGGGAAAATTCTTTGTAAATGGAAAGATCAACAATTAACAACGTTGTTAACAAGCCTCAACTGACTTGAACTCAGAAACGTGTTGACAGCATTTCATAAGATAAGCTTTCAGACATTTTTTTTTTTTATGGTAAATCCTTGGCCTTGAATTTTACAGAATGCAACGTCCCGAGACAGAACCCCTTGATTTCCTCATGCTGCAGGACTATGCAAATGAACCTACAATATATACTTGTCAGGGTAGTGTATCTGATTTGCCTTCTTGGTTTCTTTCTCCCTGCTTTTGATTCTAATCTTGCCCAACCAGAGTGAATATATACTGGGCAAATTTAAATGACATAAATATATGTAAAATGCCTAGCAGGTGATATATAAATGTTGGTTTCCTTCCTCAAGTTAACAGTACCAAGTAAAGGCCTAATTAGATAATTGACATGCAAACGAACATAACAGCTAAAGGAATTACAAGAGCTACACTGATAGGAAAGCACAGTCTTGGGTTTTGAAAACCTCCTAAACCATAATGCCTATCATCTGCAGCCCAGTCTGTGCTCAGGAGTGCCATCCCTGACTTTAACGTAGGAGCTGAGCACTTGAAATAGCAGTGCTGCTTAACTAGAAATTGATATTCAACCAACGGAAGAGGCCACTACACTTAATCACTCTCCTTTCTCACAGGATTCCCTGAATTCTCAAACTCAAAGTGACTCTGACAACCTTATCTTCTGGACAGACAACACATCATTTCTCCTTCTAAAAGAGTGGCACCATTCCATGGATGCTGGAATGCACAGGGTTCTGAGACAAACCACACCAGAGCCGCCTCCCATGCCAGGAGGTCAATGGGCCACTCACAGGGCGCTCCACAAATGTTATCACGGGGAAAACAAACACAACAAAGAAAATGTCTCTGGGGGTGTCTCCAAAGCACAGGCCCCCATCTGGGCCTCTGCCTGGCCAGGAAAGATGCCAAGTCCTACATCAGAAGCCAGCCTACAACCCAGATGCCAGTCTCAGATGCCAGTTGCAGGTATACCCTTTGTAGCACCTTCCCTGCTCTGCATTCACAAGAAGTTGAGTTTTGTCCCCAAACTGCTTGTCATCCATGTTCTAGAGAGATCTGTGGAACCAAGCAGACATGGTAATATCATCTCCAGTGCCTGGAATGGGAAGTATGAGCTTGGTTCAAAGCCCACCTATGCACTGAGGGTCAGCCCAGCCCATTAACTCATCGCTTAAGACACTGCGTGGATGAGGTGGGGGAAGGTAACAAGGACCAGCAATGTTTCATGGTGCTGGGGGCAGAGGGTCTGCTGCACAGAAGGCCACTTGATTCCTTTATCTCCCATCGTAGAGGATGCAATTGCCACCCGCGAGCAAGAGCCAGAGTTTCAGGCATCTGAACCCACGCACAGAGCAAGATGTCAGTTTCCCAGCTCTGTTCATTTCCTGCACCTGACAGCCCCAGATGACAGGCCCATAGATCACATTTAATTCTCCCACGAAGAGAGCTGAAACACTTTGGGCTCTTGGCTTTGCAAACTACCTTCCTTCTCCTCTGAGGGAAAGATATAATTAAAATCCCGAAGGGGGGAAAAAAATAGAGCCTGAGAAGAAAAGGAAACGTGCTTCAACTCGCATGACAACCCTTCAAAGGGCCAGCGGCAAGGGCTCTTTTGGTGTTCTCCACACCGGCTTGATGTGTTAGGGGCTCTTACATCCAGTCGTTAGCTACCACATTCCAGACACACATCTGAATAGTAGATTGAGGTGCACAGTTACCTGTTGCAAGCTAAATTGCCTGATACCTTTTTTTCCCCCTTTTAACACATATAACAAAGGACAGTTAATTCTCCTATCTCCTGCGAGAATGAATTGAATCTCTATAGAGTGCCACTGCTTTTGGAAGGCAACCAAGTAACTCCAACTCATTCCCTGTGCACACAGCGTGGTATGGCATTGAAAGCTTCCCATGGCGACATATAATGAGAACTGAACGACTTGGTCAGGATGGTTTCAAGGTGTAGATCGTCATTGATTTCTGACTGAAACGAACATTGCTAATTTGAAGCACCAGCTAATTAAAGCCACAGCTATGTACTTAGCCTCTTGTTATACCTACTGCCGTTTATAATTATGAGGACCTCTTTATCTTCTCAATTAAAGCTCTTCTAATTCAGGTGGGTTTTGTTTGAGCCTGGGAGCTGCACACAGGTCATAGAAAGGTTGATGTCTATCCCCTGGTGATTTGTAGCTTTCTACACCAGGCTTGTTTTCCAGGAGGCGGTATGAAGGAAGATTTTACAACCAGAAGGAAATGTTGCAGTCCAAAAGTTGACTCCATCACCTGCAGCTGGGTTTTCATACTGATAGGACCAAATCATCCCAGCCTCACCAGCCTAACATACTACTGTTGAGCACTGGTGGTATAGTGGCCAGAGCACTTGTCTGCTAATGGAAAGGTTAGTAGTTCAAACCCACAAGTTGCTCCAGGGAAGACTGATGAGGTAGCATGCTTCTATAAAGATTTACAGCCTCGGAAACCCTGTGGGGCATTTCTACTCTGTCTTACAGGGTCACGGTAAATCGTAATTAAGCCAGACCCTGACAGCATTGTTGCTGTTGGTATATGTGCCATGGAGTCAACTGCAATTCATAGCAACCCTATGCACAATAGCTGTGACTTTTGCTCTTTCCTGAGGCCATCTAACTGCCTCTGACACACCTAATCCCGTTGCCCCAGTTACTGTGTCAACCTATTTCATCCGAGGTCCTTTTCTGCACTGTCCTTTCCACCCTTCCAAGCATGATGCCCTTTTCCAAGGACTGGTCCTTTTTGCCAACATGTTTCAAGTATGTGAAACAGAACTTCAAAATCCTTGCCTCCAAGGAGCAGCCTAGTTTCACCCTTATCAGGACAAACCTGTTTGTTTTCTTGACAATCCATATAATATTCAACACTCTTCTGTGCCACCACAACTCAAATGAATTGATTCTTTCTCTGTCATCTTTAGTCATTGCCTTTGGTGCATAGCAAGTAATAGTAAAGACCATGGTCTGGGTCAAGTGCACCTTAGCCTCCAGATTGACATCGCTGCTTTTTAGCACTCTGGAGAGGCCCTTGACAGCAGAATTTCAGGATGCAATTCATCTTTTGATTTCCTGCCTGCTGGTGCCAAGAGTGTTCACTGTGGATCTGAGCAAGCTGAAATTGTTCACAATCTCAATGTCCTCTCCATCTATAATGGTGCTGCCAATTGGCCCAGTGGAGAGTAACTTTGTTTCCTTGATGTTGAACTTCAACCCATATTGAGGACTGCAGTCCTTGACCTTCTGCAGCAAATGCTTTAGGCCCTCTTCATTTTTGGCAAGCAAGATTGTGTCATCTGCATAAAGCAGGCTGTTGATGAGTCTTCCCTCAATTCTGATGCCATATTCCATATGTCTAGCCTCCTGAAGGATCTGTTCTGCATATAGATTGAAGAGGTACAG